TCCTATTGGGCTGTGTGCAATTAGGAGCGAAATCGCTCGAAAAAAGGGTCATGTAGGAGCGACAAGCTACCAGCGACGAGCTACAAGCGATATTGAGCGACGAGATGTGAACAGCTCCATTGAAATGGATTGGAGAAGCTACATAGAGCGATATCGCGTGGAAATATGAGCGATATCGCTGCAAAAATCGCTCAGTGTGAATGGGGCCTAAATCTGCCACCCTGCCCTCCAGGACAAGAAGCATGTTCTCTTTTTTCTGCACAAGAGTAAAGTTCTATCTTATTTAGGCTCTCATTAATATATAGGAGTGAGATATTACAGTTCTATTCCTAATTTAGTGATCAATAGTTTAGACAATGTTCACAATTTGAAAGACAACTTCGTCTACTTGACCTGATCAAGTTTATCAAACTATCACCTCACAAACCATCAAACGAATTCTCTTTACACAATGAACCTCAAATTGTCTCAATCATTTGTCACTTTTCAAATATGTGTCACCAGAAGATAAGTTGTAGGGAGATGAATATTATTCCTTCTGATATTATACATTACAAGCTTCATGTGGATGCAAATGTGCATATCATGGACTTCAATAACAAAGGGTTGTATACAGGGCCGGTGCGAGGATTGTAGTCAAGGTGGACAAGGTGCAATTTTGCCCCCCCCGATGTTTTGTACTTGTCAAAATGACCCGATGTTTGTTCTTTTCCACTTACCTTCGGTGCGGAGAGCAGCGGCGAGTCAGCGCTGGTCCGGTGGGAGGATCTCCAGGTGGGGTCCTAATTTAGCTGGCCGGCGACTGCCTGAGGTGCCGTGCGTGTTGGGATCCTCAGGCAGTCGCCGGCTAGCTAAATTAGAACCCCCCCTGGAGCTCCTCCTACCGGACCAGCGCTGACTCACCGCTGCTCTCCCGCACCGAAGGTAAGAAAGAAAAAAAAACATAGCGCAAACATCGGAGCATTTTGACAAGTACGAGTACTTGTCAAAATGGCCTGTTTTTTCCGCCCTCACCCTGCAGCGCTGTAAGGCGCCCGCCTTACTTGCCTTGCGCTAGCGCCGGGCCTGGTTGTATATGACCTGTTCTCTGTGTTTCGGATGATGTTCTGGTGTCAGAAACCCGAACCACGATTCAGCCAGTGCATAGAAATCATGGCCACATTAGGAGGCAAGAAGACCAGCAGAGGCAACACTGACGGTGATTAGCCAAAGATTCGAGTCTGTCCCACATCCACACTTCTCTAAATCAAGTAGAATAGAAAATGAACAGGTTAGCTTGTCTGGTAGGGTGTTCGGAACGCGGCGGTTATTGTATTTTCTCAGGGTGCTCCCCATCAACAGGATATACCACACTGCCAAAATGGTAAAGTTATCATTTCTCTCCCTTCTGTATGTCATTTTCTTATTTCTACATCCTGCCTGCCTAGGGGGTACTACATTTAAAACACTAATAAGTGGTCTTTTATGTACTAAGCTAAAAATTCATAGTCCCAGAGAGATTGTTGCATCTTATTACTAGTGCCTGTATGAGCAGTCATAACTTTGCTGTTGTGTATAAAATAGCACTCTGTGGCTGCTGATTGTATGCAGATTAGTGTCAGTGTTTGGAAGCCGTCGTATCTACCAGACAGGGATCTCTGTGTGTATGTATTATTGTCTATCAAACCAGTCAGCTGACAAACCGCGGGTGGTGGCAAGTTACCCTAAATTGTGTGCGGGAAGTAGAAACTGTTAAACTAGATCAGGATTCCAGGTCCCATAGCTCGGGGGAATCTCAGAAGCATGTAGAAATCTTTCACTGCTCCATAATCCTTAGTGTGCACCAGATTGCATGCAAGATTTATACCTGCTCTGTGTTCAGCCAGCTATAGTTAAGTCTCCCTCTAGTGGTGACCTGCTGTACTGAAGGCAGTGATAACTTTCATAGCTTTATTTACCTGTCCAAGGCAAACGCTTTTCTTTATTCCTACGCTCACCCAAACAAGGATCTCACCATAGCCACAATCCTGGACTCGGTGGTAGCAGGATTGCTAGTGGAGCTGGCGGCTCACATCCTACACGTTGGCCTCAGCCTTATCCCTAAACTATTGGTGGGTGGGTGGGTGGTTGGTTGTTTAACACTTCCCGTATATCCTTGTATATTTAGTGAACAAAGGAACTCATCTAGAAGTTTCTTGAACTATCAGCGGATACTGCCTGTGAGAAGGGAATTCCATATTTTTACTACTCGCAAAAAAAAACCCTTTCGCAGAACTTTCTTCTAACCTCTTGATGTGTCCCCGGGTTCTCAATGCTGTCCTCAGTGAAATGAGCTTGTTCCTAATATTGGGGTCCACATTGATTTTGAAGACTGCAATAAGGCCCCCCTCTTAATCTCCTCTTTTCTAAGCTGAATAAGTGTAATTGTTGGAAGCAGTCTTCATAGCTCAGGCCTTCTGTCCCTTTAATTATTTTTGTATCCCTTCTCTGAACTCTCTCAAGCTCTAGGATGTCCTTCAGGAGAGTTGGCGACCAAAACTGCACCGCATACTTCAGGATGGGACCGAACTAGTGGTAGTATTCCGTTATCCCTTGCTACAATCCCTCTTTGAATGCAGGTCACTATCCTGTTTGCTTTGCTGATCACAGCTTGGCAAGACATACTATTGCCAAATCTGTGATCTATGAGGACCCCCCAGGTCCCTTTCCATGTCTGCCTTCCCTAATGCAGCCCCCCCAGATAGTAGTTTACGTATTTGTTCTTTGCACTCATGTGCATTACCTTACAGTTTTCAAGATTAAATCCCATATGCCAATGTGTAGCCTATGCTTCAATTTTATCCAGGTCTGGTTGAGGTCCCGATATCTCCTGTTAAGAATTTGCTGCCCTACAAAGTTTAGTATTGTCGGGAAAAATGGAGATCGAAATATCTATCCCAAGCTCCATGTCGTTGATGAATAGGATAAACAGGATTGGTCCCAGGACCGACCCCTGGGGCACCCCACTCTGACTTTTGCCCAATTAGAGAATGACCCATTTATTACTACCCTCCGGGTCCATTCTTGCAGCCAGTTTTCCACCCATGTGCAAACAGTTTCTTCCAAACCGACAGACCTAAGTTTGTCAATCAAACGCTTTAGCATGGTCCAGATACACCACGTCTACGGGTATTCCTCTGTCTTAATTAATACTGACCTCCTCATAAAATGTTCATAGATTGGTCTGACTAGAACGGTCCTTCATGGAGCCATGTTGGGTTCTACGTATGATACCAGTATTATTTGTAAATTCCTGTATGTAGTCCCGTATCATGCCTTCCATTATTTTGCACACTATTGTCGTTAAGCTGATGGGCCGGGTCTGTAGTTACCCGGTGACAGGGGTCACATTGGTATTGTAATTAAATGAGAAAACAGTGGTACAAGAGCTGAATGTTTCATGGTGTTAGGATCACCATACACATTATTATCAACTTTAGGTTTACCAAAACTATGTAATATGAGAGCTGACCTGATCCATCCCATTAATCTGTATTCAGTCAGACCGCCTTCTGCACTACATAGAATTGTTGGTAGATCTAAAGGAGATGTTTAATGTGGCACTCCAGGTAAATACACAATTGTAGTACTTACTGTACAGTATATTTACTATTTGACTTACCAATCTGCACAGCCAGGAAAGTGACCCATTTATCTCCCAGTTCAGAAATTCAGATTCATATGTTACCAGTTTATTATGACTCATCATCTCTGTCCAATGTGCAAGGAACTGATCCAGGAACAATAGGGTTAAACCAGTAGATGGCAGAAAAAGACCAAGTGGTCCATCAAGTCTGCCCCTTTGTCCCAAACATTCACTTACTGCTGCCTGACTCACTCACTCACTACCTCTGCTGGCAGTCTGCTCCAAACAGCCACTGCTTTTGAGAAAATATTACTTTGCAAGGTTAGTTTTGAACTTACCTCCTGATAGACTGAGGTCATGGCCGCCGTGTTCTTGATCTTAGCTTTCTATTGAAAAAGATTGCCCTCCTGAACCTTCATCCATTCATACCCCTCTCCCATACCAACAGCTGGAGCTTGTATATATTAGGTTCATGCAGTCTCTTCCAATATGTTTTATACATAGGGGGCATTAGCATTACAGTTAAGTAAAACTAAAAGTTTAAAATAAAACGAACATCCCAAAAAAAATTGTTTTAAAGTCCCTGACCCCCCATGTACACGCTCATACAAACATAAACATGCATTGGGTGCCAAACCTGTTAGATATTACCACTCATGCCAGAGTGAGAGCAATAATCCTGGCAATGTCCCTCACTGGTTCTTAGACCAACAGAGTGGAGGGGGAGAGAGTCTGCAGGGACCAGTCTAGCCGCCATCCAGATCCGGGTATGTATATTTTAGCTCCCTAGACAAAAAGAGCAATTAACCCTTTCAGTGCAGTGGTAGCCAGCTCTTTTATTAAATGAACTGTGACCTGGCAATGGCAGCATTACTCCAACCTTTTATTATAAGTCATTCAACTATTTGAGCAATAGCCGAGAGATCTTACTGACTAGAAGAGGTGTCAGAATTGCTGGTCAAAGGTCAAATCAGCACACAAATATATGGACTGCTACTTTTACTATGATGTAACAAAATATGAAAGATGTATCATTTTAAATATGGGTCAAGGAAGAGTCATGGGAGGAATAACCAAAAATAGAAGTGCTGCTTTCTTTACACTTTGCTCAAATGACAGGAAAATAGATACATTTAAGGATTGGAGGATAAATTATTGGAAGAATGAACAGAATTGGAAGAAATGCCGAGTGTAATATTGTCATCATCCACAGTGTGCATTTCCAGCCTCATAGCCGAGCTGGGTCAGTCAAATCAATATATTCCTAATCTGTTTGTCTTGTAGGCAATGTTTAAAGCTAGACCAGTGTAAGACCAAAATCAGGATTCCAGTATCATTTAGATGTGTGACATCATCATGAGAGCAGTTTTGTGTCACATCAGGATAACGTGACACCACGAGGGGCTCTTCACATAAAGTGCACAGTGTTCCAGACTGAGGCGTGGATTCCCTTTACCATTATGTAACTAAAGTTCAAAGCTTGAAGCCTACGCATTTCAGGTCCTCTTACTACTCCTACTGCCACTATCTGGAAATGATTTCCTCCTGGGCCCAGCCTCTGTTGGACATCGCATAATTCAGGATGGTTTCAGCAGCAGTGTATGAGCGGCGACCCTGCACACAGGCCTCAATCTCTTCTACAGGCAGCTGGCTTTGCAGGAAGAGGTGCAGCTGACTGTCCGACAAAAGGACCATGTTCTGTACAGATCTGCAAAAGAAACAGAAGAACGGTCAGATATGCTCAGGGAGCACCCAAGTAAATAATCTGACATTTAATAAGCAGCATTATTGTCCCAGCAAAGAGAAATATGGCCCAATCTTTTCTTGCCATAGTTTTCTTTAGTGTGTGTGTATATATATATATACATATATATATATATATATATCCTTCTGTGACCCAAAACTCAGCATATAGTGGGCTATACGCTGACAGTGCATGCGCAGCAGCCGGGACAGACCCCAACAATATTGTCAGGATCCACTCCGCTGCCTGATTGACAGCTGGCTCTGCCTCTAAAGTTGTGGAGGGGGGTATCCCTGTGGGAAGCAATGACTGACAGCCACCACTCTCTGCAGAGAGAAGATCGGGAACTGAGTGATCAGCGGTATGTTTGCTCACTTCCCGATCAATACACCTGATGTGTGACAGCTGCCTCGCAGTGACACAAGGCGCATGAACCTGGTGTTCTTTTGATAGAACAATGGCTTCCCAGGCAATCAGGAACCAGGCAAAGGTTATGGGCACATGACCTTCACACCTTTATAAGTTCCTTTTGGACATCACATTCCAAAACCATGATGTGATTTAATATGGAGTCACCACCCCTTTGTGGATACAACACAAACTTTCCCATGCTGCACACAGTCAAGTTCTACTTTAAAATGTACCAGTTTATATTCCACTTTCGGGGGAGGGGATAACTAAAGGAACTGTATGGATGCTCCAGTTTATACATCAACAACTCTTCATGCAGCATTTGAAATAAAAATATATAATGGTACATTAAAGACTTAATTTGGATGAAGAAACAACCCAGACTTTAACTAGAAACTCTCCAATACCCAAACAATTTAGATGACTTTGATTCAGGGAGGCTCAGCAAGTTGAATCTTGATTTTCTACTAATGTACTTGATAGGCAAGATTTGGGAAACATATAGTGGGACTCAGAAGCTAGACAGAATGTACCCCATACTGGGATAATAAACAGCTTACTGAGATATTGAAACAAAGACCTTGGCTTGGAAACAGATATTGTTGCAGTCATCCCATTCAGAGGGAACACACAAGACATTCCAGTAGATCCAGACTGAATATGACCTAAATAACAAAAGATTTGATCCAGATATAAATAAATAAGACAAGCTCTCCAAGCCCAGTCTAGAACTATCTTAGTAGAAGTGGCTCCAACACCAGAGTGAGGCCTAAGATTACTGTCAGATGTTACCACATACATAGCGCTACCCGCAGATCCGCTACCAACGTTCTCCAAAGAACTCGATAACCTTACCACCACAGCATTTCAAAAAGCCATCATCAATAAAAAAAGAGAAATCCTAGGTGGAAGAGAAACATCCCGAAGGGTCAATTCTGTAGACTCAAGAGAAATTGTACCCAGAATACAGATTATGTCACATCCAGTCAACTTCTCATCAATAAATTCAGGGAAAAAGAATACCCAGAAGAACTCATTATGGAGGCTTTCTCCGGCCACTCAAAAACAGACCAACCTCTGGACGCCACATATGACCATAATGCGAGGGAGGAAAACAAAATACGTTTCATTACTACTTTTAATAATGGGTTTACAGCCATACAGAAAGTCATACGCAAACATTGGCATATCCTACAAAAAGACCCGAAATTGGGTCCCCATTTACCGCCCAACCCGTCCATCAATTCTAGGAAGTCCAGGAACATAAAAAAATATGATAGGCCCTAGCCGATCTTTCCAACGCCCAGAAGCCCGTCCAAAACACTTTTTATTTGATAATAGAACTGGTATATTTCAGTGTAAAAAACCCAGATGCCTTACATGCCATTTCATCCACCACGGTCAAACAATATTCCACGATCATCTGCAGTTTTCCTACAATAGGAGGAGATATAGGAGGAGAATAGGAGGAGATAGCCGGTTGTGACTAAGTCACAAGGGTCATTTGTGCACCAACCAAAGGGAGGGAGAGGTTAAGGGCCAATATGACTAGGTCAACTTAAGCAGTAATCCAAACAATATGTAAGATAGTACCCGCAAGGGGTAATTACAGACCCCCTTTAGAGCAGGCAGGGTCAATGGTCGCTAGTGACTAAGTTGCCACAAGCCTGTACACAGTGTGGAAGTGCGACAGTAAAACCAAGGGCTACTCAAAAACCAACTGCGGTGCTGAAGGTGTTAAGGGTCAGCCATAACTAGGTCACCACAGGTTGCTGAGCACACAAAAAAAACAGGGAAATGATACCAACAAGAGTCACACACAGACCATTGCACAGCAATGGCCATGCATGTCTAGGTAACCATAGGCCCATTTACAAACAATATACAACAAGGATGACTCACAGACCACTGCAGAGCAGGCAGGCTAATGGCTTTCTGTGACAGGCCACTGTAAAACCATTATACAGTGAGACATTACACACAGGTACTCAGACTACAGTAGAGCAGTAGGGGCTAATAGCCCACTGGAAGGCAATTGCTAGGAGGGATGTCTACAGCCTCCTGGGGATCCAGTGGTAGCTCCAAAAATAAGAAGTACAAAGTGTCCAAGTGCCTACATTAAAGGTGTTGTAGCACATATGGGGTGCCTCCAACAGAATAAATGTAATGTCGCAACAAAGTCTGCAACACATTTGTAAAAATGTTACAGTTCTATCAACGTTAAGACATGGGGGATGGTGGTGGGCAGTGAAATCATTGGACAAGCTCTTTGGTACTTACAGAAGGCATCCAGGACAGCCTTCGCCTTCCCTTTGGGCATACCCCTCCTTCCCCCAAGAGTCTTCAGAGACAAGGCTCCAACAGAGGGAGCACGGCTCTAGACCTGTATAGAATCACATGCCAAACCGAGTGCCCTAGCCAGGATCCAGAGGCAACTTTACAGGCCGGCCCTGTATCTTCTTCCTGGCGGGGGCCTGGTGTGGTCCCCAAGGCTCAGCCGAGGAGTGCCGATCCAGAAGCTGCTAATTTGTGCTGCAGCAGCCATGTAGCAACTAAGAGTCTGCGGGCAAGACAGATATTTTTTTATCCCCCGTTGTAAGTCTCTGAAAGCTAATGTCAAATCTCTACGTGGCAGACGTGAGATAATTGATCTGTCCTGTGTTCCGATATTGCCATGTCGGAGCTGAGCCGTTCACCGCTACTCCATAGGGCGCCGGAACCGGAAGCCGCCATCTCAACTAAGAGTCTTGATTGTAGGGACAAATTCATATTTGAAAAATCCAAAGTGTAAAGAGAAAAAAGATTAAAGAGCAAGAACAAAATGTCCATCTCCTAAGGACACTGGCAGAAAACTAAGGCTTGCTGGGAGTGGGGAGGTTATACTAGGCTACTAAACATGTGTTTGGAAACGTTTCCCATAATTTCCTGATCTTTCCACTGGGCACACAAACCAATGTGGACACCATAATTAAAACCTGAAAGAGGCTCCTATACCTGTCCGTGTGTGGCCCCCATTACAATCTTCACAGAATGGAAGAAAAGTGTATAGGTTCCTTCACGTACACTATCTATTCAATCATCGGCTGTGTAACCCACAACAAGGACAATTTTTGTTATTTGACTGAAATTTGAGCAGCTCATGGTCTGCACAGGCCCCCATGGCTTTGGCTAGAAGAACAGGTTTTAGGAAATAAATATTAGGTATGACGAGCAATTTGCTGATCATGAGTCTGGGCTCCCCTTTATAGAAACATTCTAGAAACAATTCCACTTCTACGGCTTACAAATAACTATGCAAGGATTTCATTGCTCACCTGTATAATATTGTCTGAACCCTTACTTCCCGTTTCCTCAATTTGGGTGCAGGAAAGAGCAGCTGAACCTGTCAGTCTAATCATTACTAGGAGATAAGCTGTCAGTCATGCCGTCTTCCTTTCTTGCACTGCCATCTACTGGAAGGGGATCAGCACACAAACACTGAAAGCAATATATGAAAACGCTACTAGTAAAAGAAGATGTTCTTGTAGGCCACGTTAAGTCTCTAAGGCCAGGGACAGTTTTAAAGAACAAGAAATATCGTGACTTCCAAAGTAAAAACTAGGGATGTCCCGATACCGATACTAGTACTTGTGAAAATGCCCCGATACCGGCCCTTTACATTTTTAAACAAGAGCGGCTGCCTGAGGTCCTGCGCTCTGAAAACCTTGGGCAGCTGTCTTTGACAGTGCCAGTCTGGCCGCACATCACCTCCTTCCCGAAACCGGCACAGCAAAGGAGAGGCGCACACCTGCAAGTACAGCCATGGAGCCCAGAACGAGCCCGGCATCCACCTGTTCAGCCCCGGGGAGACCCTGCACACATCATGGATTGATGGGATCTGTAGTCTTCTATAGCAGGTCGCCATTCTCCATTGCTGAATAATCATGGATTGAGTTAAAGTTCTTCATTATTATAAAGAAACTGCCTTAAAATCATTAGTCTGTATTGTTTAGAAAAATTGTCACATGTCCCTTTAAGAGAAAGTATCGGTAAAAAGGGAAAGAACTTTTACTCGGTCTTGATAAATGGTATTGGGACATCGCTAGTACAAACCTTTTGTAAAGTGACTACTTCAAATATATACGAGGCCACAGACACAGGTTAATAAAGTGTACTGGGACATTTGCATTAAAGCCGATACGTAAACCAGCAAAATCTTATCCGGCCTCATCTCTTACTATAAAAATAAAATATGTCATTCACAGAACGTGGGATTGTCCAGTAAGCGTGGGGGAAGTGGTTTGGATAAGCAGCAGAGAGTCTTAATACCGTCTTTATATGTGTTCCCATTCACATCGTGTTTAATAAAGATTTTAAAAACTGCCGTTTGTCCTTTTCTGAAAACTTTAAACTGGATTTTCCTCAGCTATGCAATGGAGCTGGTGAGTTAATGTTTACCATGATTAACCCCGTCTGTGCTGTGCTGGCAGATCTCATTACAGGTTATTAACTAGATTTGAACACCGTCTGTCCTAAGAAAGGGTTACAGGCCTGGCAGCTTGGCTTCTGCCTTGTATAATAATGAGGGGAAAGTCACTCTGTCCCTGGAACTGACTTGCTTTGGAATTGTACAGAGTAGCTTGCAGTCTGCCCAAAGGCCTGCTCCAAACAAACAATTTAAAAAGGCAAGAAATATTTTTGTAATAAATCATTGTAGATGTGCCGTGTGACTGGGAAAACATAGTTGGGTTTTCTTGAATTGGACTGCAAAAGTGGGAATACTCTTTAACATTACAGAACAGGTGACTGACTACTACTAGCTCAAACCCTCCAATACCCTTAGATTTGCATTTTCTGTAGCTGCTATATGACAGCTATAGTCCATTTCCTAATCTGCTGGGGAAGTGCTGTGGGAGGAGACAAATATCAATGCTTCCTTCCATCTGCTGATGTCTACGCCCAGCTAAGGCAGTATTGTAGTCCAGCAGTGCAGAGGAAAGAGGGACGACCCCGTGGGAAATTGAAAAGGCAGCATACAGCACAGGAAGCGTGGTCTGATCTGAGAAACCCAAATATAACGAGTAGAATGAGAGCACCAGACCAAGAAAAGTTTGGAGTCCAAAATCTTTTAATCACTCAACTGTGATTAAACAACAGTAGAGAGCCGACACGTTTCGAGGGCTACAATTCCCCCTTCATCAGGGGTGAAGAAGACAAAAAAAAACATAAGAATAAACATTCTTCTTCTTCTTATTATTATTATAAGAAAATACTTAAAAATCTATATGGTCTGGCACTCTCATTCTACTAGTTATATTTGGATTTCTCGATTTGGGTCCTAGCCTCTACCCTAGGAGCCTCCAGATTCCTGCATAAGAGCTGCCTCACTTAACCCCCTTCGGTGAAAGATACCAGTCCAGCTCCTCCTTTGCCATTTGCTTCTGATCTGAGAAACCGGCAGGATCAACAAGTACGTTTTACAATACAAAAGGTAATCCTGCTAGAGCTCACATATAAAAAAGGGACTTTTTTATGCTCATCGGGTCCATCTAGTGGCGGTAATGCCATTCAAACGGCACTGGGCCAGCATATGGGTGGGCGGAAGATTCAGGTTTGCTTTTTTCAAACACTGCTGCACATTCTTTTTTTTTTTAATCGGGAGTCCCAAGTTCTTCATTAACTGTACAGTACAGAAAGTAAACTCCGTCATCTTTCACAGACATCGTCACTAGGCTCCTTCAGATCGCTCCACTCCAACCATTCTGAACTTTGAGCTTTTCATCCTCCAACCCTTCAAACTTGTGAAAACCGGGAAAGGTTGGGAATTGTGAGGGAAGCTCCAGTACATTAATATACATATTGAAGTATCGATATTTCAAAGAAAATGCACTTTAAAGTTTTTTCAAACACTTTTTTGTAGGAGTGTTTATAAGCTTACTGTTCCAGGAACTGCTGTAACCCTTGTCTTCTTCTTTCAATAAAGTCATCGCTGCATCCCATATGAAAAGGAACTTTCCCTGGCATTGCAGGAACAGGCCTACAAAAAAGAGGGGTTCCGGGTCAGAATTGCCAGCAAGTAGATAGGTAGTCAGGCAGTTTTAATAGGGTACAGTTGTAAAAAGCCATCGTATGAGCTGGCCCTTTCAGGTTACCTGGATACACTTGTAGAAAGCAGAACATTGTAGAGCAAGAAGACTGCAGTAGAATGCCATTGTCAGCCTGTCCTATTCTTCTGTCATTTTATAGCATATCCAAACCACTTCTTCAGTTCTAATTAGAGCTGCAGCTAACGATTATTTTCAAAATCGATTAGTTAGCCGATTATTAAGTTCGATTAATCGGTTAATCGGATAAACAATAAAATAAAATTTTAAAAAAATGGCTCCAGTGATGGACTACTAGTTTGTATTGAGATTGTAGTCCATCACAGGAGCCAGCTTTGGAGCGGTGGAAGTAAAAAAAAAAGTGTGGTGTGCAATATAGTGAAATGGAAATTTTAAAGTTATACAGCAATCAATGCAGAATGGCACTGGCTATAGAGGACTACAAAACCCAGCAATTGTACATTATACAGCGCAATGCAGAATATCACCAGCTATAGAGGAGCTGGGAAGGAGGTGCGGCGTGTAGAGCGTGGATGCGGGCGGGCGGGTCTGGCAGCGGTGAGCGTGAGTTGGGGAGGAGGTGCGGCGCGCAGCGTGTGTGGAGCCGTGAACAGGGCCAACTGATCGGAAGCCGATTAATCGATTATTGAAAAAGTTGACAACTTTTTCAATAATCGATTATGTTGATTAGTTGTTGCAGCCCTAGTTCTAATGAGTGCCAAGAAAATACCCAACGTTTATACCCTCACAGGTGGCACACCTTTGTGGATAGACATTCTGGGGTCATTTTCTGACACTCATTAGAACTGAAGAAGTGGCTTAGATAAGCTATAAAATAGTCTTCAACACCACAGAACAGCTGAATGCGACTAGATATACCATGGCTGGGATAAATCAGAACATTCATGGACATACAAACACCTGAAATGGAACACTACAAGAAATTAAGAAGTGGCAGAGAGATACATTCGAACAGCCTGAACCACATCGAAGCAGTGGAGAAAAATCTTTCCGATGCACTGGAGCTGGAGACAAAGAGGGAAGCGTGACGTCCTGATCAAAGTGACGCTAAACTCAGGAGTTAAATCTTACAAAATGCATTAAAATACCCCACTAACAAAAATGTATCTTATTTGTGTATCACTCGGCTGTCCTCAAATCATCTCTGAATTGGTGCGGACACTGTCCTTCCTTCTGGACGGTGGCTACTTTTGTTCCCCATGGTCCCTGTGTGTGTTGTAAAGTAGCCACCCCTCCAAACTCACTCCAGTGATGGACTACAATCTCACATTTAGTTTACTAATTTGTAGGGCTGGTAATGATTAAAAATTTTGTGTTCGATTAATATAATTTTTTTTTAAATCGATTAATTATACATGAACTTTGATCGATCAAAATAATCAACGATTAATCGACGGATTAATCGTTAATTTCCGCACCCCTACTAATTTGTATTGATATTGTAGTCCATCACAAGAGTGAGACTTGGAGCGGTGGCTACTTTACCATGGGGGAACCATGGAGAACAAAAGTAGCCACCCTCCAGAAGGAAGGACAGTGTCAGCACCAATTCAGAGATGATTTGAGGATCTACAGCTGAGTGATACACAAATAAGATACATTTTTGTTAATAGTTGAGGCGTTTTAACTCCTGAGTTTAGTGTCACTTGAAAGAAGTCTCACCTTGTATTATTTTTCACAGCTCAGTCACCCAACTCTCACAGTGTATGTTGCTTTTTAATCAAATGTTTTTATGTAAAGTAGAAACTAAGATACAGACTTTGAAAGTTCACTTCATTCCCGACCATGCCCTTCAAAAGGAGGTAACTTGTTTATCGACAGCTCATCTCGCTGTCCCTGCACTTTCCAGAAACAAGCACAAGACTGCAGAGTAAGCGGACACTCTCACAGCAATCAGCATAAGTACTAGATTTGGAAGGGGGAGCCTTTGAGTTATGAAAGTACAGAAACCATGAGATGGGAGCTGTCAATCAAGAGTTCCTGGCCAGGAAGACAGGGGAGTGTCAAAGTCTAAGTTTCTACTCCACACAGAATCATGGGATAAAACAATAGCATATACTGTGGGAGTTAGGTGACTGCGCTATGAAACATAAAACAAGTTGAGACTTCTTCCTTAGGGTGGAATGCAGAGATCAATTTCGGAGGGGAGGGCTTACTCTCAAGACCACTTTGTCCCTCTAAGGTTTTCTGCATTGAAACTTGAACTGTGCTAGGAGTGAGGTGTAGCACGTCACTGCAGTAACATCCACTGCAACAGTGATTGACAATATGCAGACACCGTGCCAACACATACAGCACTGCCTAAGTCCAAAGCAAATGCTGCAGAAGAATTCCCAGAGTTCCAAGATTCAGTGTTCCAGGAAGCAGGCAACTCAGTTTTAGATGAAACTGGCTCTATGGAAGTTGTATGAACAACTGAGGAATCAGAAGCCGTGACTGGGATTCCCTGAAGCTCAGCTGGGGTGTCTGACAATCAATGTGTCTTGTAGGAGAGTGACATAATACAGACAGAAGGGTGCCGGCTGTAATGCCTTTATTAGATTTGGAGGCACACAGTGGAAAGGGGAGGAGAAAATTAAAGAGCAGCCCAGTTTTCCACCAAGCAGAAGGGACAGAAATAGACTGGAGGTCTATTTTAAATTCAACATGAAACCTTCAAAGTCTTTTTTTTGTTAAGGGGGGCAGAATAACTAGAATATATATTTGTTTTATTTCCTTCTTCTCTAGTGGTATGCAGACCTCTAGCACCACTCCCCCTGTACGGGTGCCTCTATCCACTAGCCAACTGCTGTGAAGGCATCCGTATGTGCACGGTCACGGCCATGCCAGCACCTAGCTGTGTGTGTGCATAGACACACACAGTGTGCAGCCAACCATGCCCCCACCCTTGCAGTCACAGCTTGACTGATGGTAGAAGAAGCCTATGACCCCCCTGTCTTTAGTACCCTCCCCCACAACCAGGAAGTTCGGGGAAACAGGCAAGTGTGGGGTGGACAGGGATGTTAGAAAAGTTCTGGGTGTGTCTTTGCCTAAATTCAAAGAATGCATTAAGGCAAAAAACACGCAAGCCTCAATACTACATTAAGGCTTCCCTCACCCCATGACTGGAATGTGATTGTTTTCTATCAGTTACTGCATTTTACAATTCATCATACCTCTTAACCTTAACTGATCATAAAGTTCAATGCAAAGCAGCGTCTATATATTGATATGCACCAGAAATATTAGTATTGAATTCAGGGTAGACATCTTGCAGCTCCGTTATGTCCATGTGTTCACATGTATAAGGAATATATTTAGGGCAAACTACTCACACTAGGCCGGCATATTTCTGCAGCTGTTTCCTTAACCAGGCAAACTCCCTGTAACGTCTCCTCACGCAGGATGTCTTGGCAGTAAACGCCTTGCTGTTGGTCTGGGAAAAGACAAAACTGCTTGTAAAATGGATTTTAAAGATCTACCAACAAAACTGTGCCCATTCTAGAAAGGGAAACATTGGGGATTTGGGGAGAGGTTGGAATGGTGGCAGGTGCAGTTGTTAGAGCAGGATGGCTAGAGTTGTGGCAAAGTTGGGTTGGGATGCCAGTGTGTGCAGGCTCAGTGGCGAGCTTCAGAGCAAGATCAGTGGTGAAGCCCTACAGTCAGGATGAGAAAGGGTGCAGGCTTGGTGTTAAATGTAGAAGGGGGCGATGCAGGTGTGGTGTTAAATGGGGGAGAAGAGGGGTCAGGCACCATGGTGAGATGGGCAGGGATGCAGGCTTGGTGGTGAGAGTTGGGGTAGCAGTCACGCGAGGGATCCCACCACCATAGTGTTCTCACATTTGCTGACCGTGCAATCATTGTAGGACAGGGATATATTCAAAATGACTGTGCATGCTTGGGGCAGATTGGTTCCATCAGAGCATGAAGGTGGACACACGGACATGTTTATGTACACTGCTGCATATGCGTGTGGATACGATGCACAGACATGACTTAAACGTCATCCGTGCGTCTAAGCGCATATTTATGATGTAAGAAGACACCATATTGATTACACAGGGAACCCCATATGTCATCTCCGAAAAGTCCAAGAGGGGGAACTTTTACTTTTATAATTGTCCTAAGTTTAAGTTTTTGATTAAAATAATCTTTTATATCCAACAAACTAAGCCAGTGGAAGTACTAGATTATGATGACCATCACATCTACATTTCAACATGAACCTAAAGTCAAAACATCACTTCACTTCCTGTATTCCTCTCTTATGATAACTACATAATAAATACTACACATCAGAATTTTGGGGGATGAAGACAATCTGTAGCTCTCCATTTTAGGAACCACATACTCAATGCTGAGATATGGTGGTCCAGCGGTTGCCAATTATTTACTCACATGAAGGAAGATTTTATAATCCACATAGGACGTCCATGATCCTTCATTCTGCAGTCTAGGATCTTGGACACGAATGGTAATAAATTCCTATAAACAGAAGAGATCACGAGTCTGTTACTGGAAAATGACAGGGAGGGCAGATAATGTCAGTATACATCTCTCAATGTTAGAAAAGAAATCAAGCAATTTCCTGATGCAGCACAATCTATGCTAATAAGCACTCAGAAATAATCTTAGAATTGACAAATACGGTGAGCTTAAATCTGGTTGCTATAACATTATCATTGTTCTTGGTTGTGCTTTTACTGCTATAAGTATTAAACTGATAAAGCTAAAACATACAGTTTGATATGTTTGCTACATATTGTTTGTGCTGCAAGACAACATGAAGCCATTCAGATAAATGCGTATGGTAATAATGCTGCGAAACATTACTCATATGGTATTACCATAAGTTATCTGCTTTGTTTTAAAAAAATGATTGAAGATTGATTTTACAACTCAGTAAAAGGCATTACCACAATGATCAGCTGAAATGACCAAATGCAACATATTTGATTGATTTCTAAGGCATTCTGGTCTGTAAAGGTCTCTTTACAGAGACTATTGTACCCAACATTAGAATACAGCTAGCTTCAGGCTGGATATAACAGTGTTTCATTGAGGTGTCAACTGAGAGCAAGAAAATGAGCTATCTGAAGTAGTGAAAAAAATACACTTTTATTAAAAACAGATTATGAGAAATAAAGCTTTTAGCAATTAAATGCAATGGTCGAGTCTTGTACTGTGTGTTAGCCATCAATCAAATGCATGAGGTTTGTAGCTTAAACAAGAACTTAAATTGGCTAACTTAAAGTGACACTAAAAACTCAGGAAGTAATAGTTAACAAACTTGAATGCTTCTTAGGATTTAACATAAATGTATCTTATTTGTGTATCACTCGGCTGTAGAGCCTCAAATCATCTCTGAATTGGTGCTGACACTGTCCTTCCTTCTGGAGGGTGGCTACTTTTGTGTGTGTTGTAAAGTAGCCACTGATCCAAGCTCGGTCCTGTGATTGACTACAATCTCACGTTCAGTTTAATAAATCTTCTCTTTCTTCTACTAAAGTTAACTCTTTAAGGTCACCCTTCTCTTCCCTGCGCCTGACATAACTGAGGAAATCTACACACCTTCCTCCACATCTTGCCTCTCCTACCTGGTAGTTTCCCCACTCATGGGTTTACTAGTAAAGGAAGTGAAACTAGCCAGATATGAGGATGGCTTGATGGATGGCCGGATATGAGGATGGCTCAAACCATCCTCATATCTGGCTGGTTTAACTTCCTTTACTAGTAAACCCATGAGTGGGGAATCCTCCAGCAAAGATCTAAAAGATTGAAATGTAAAAAGTCTCCTGCTTGAGGATTCCCATCAGATCAGTATTATGGAAGTCATCTCTTCATTGACTAACTTGATAAGACAAGGTTGACAAAGTGGTATCTTCCAGTAGCTAGCTAGCTTAGTGGCACAGTTCTCAGACCTCTACCTGGGTCTAACCCCCAGGGACAGTTTTTACGAGTCCTGGACTAGAGGGGTTAAAGTGTAACAACCACCATTAATGTCATAACAATGAAAAATAATGGAATACAGGGATTGACACAGCCTACATCCACTTGTGGTGGGTGCTTGAACAAGGAACATCCAGTGCATGGCGGGCCTGGTGTGGAAGAAGAAAGCTCTATGGTAAATGCTACATTGATTACTGCTGGACAGAAGTAGCAGAGCTCATGCAAGTTGTCCACGTACTGGAAAGTGTCTGTACGGTGATCCAATTATCTATGTGCACTCAGGGGAGCATGCATGCAAGACTGGGTCCAATTTCCCTTCAAGCTGACATTTATTAAAGCTGCACCAGAACTACTATTCCCCAACAGCTTCTTCAGACAGACTTCTGCCTCCTCACTTGTGAAACACCAGCCTGCAAATCACTCCCCATTCTGCTTGGTGACCAGTAGGAGCTGCTCCTTGAACCTTGGGGCCAAGCAGTCATCAGCTGGACCTTAAGGTGAAGGGGTAGATTGGTGGTAGTAAGTGGGGATGGTTGCAGCCACTAAGATTGTCTCACAATGCAAGGAGAGGGAGGGTGTGGAGCTGCACAACCCATTGCCAAACATGCCCTACTGCCTCTGAACCATGAGTTCCACTGGCCAGCTCTATATGGTCATTGGCTGGAAAAAAACAAAAACAGCCAAGTCTGGTTGTGTATGCATGAGGATTCAAAGATTGGAACTAATAGCTACTGGAGAGCCTGTTAATTGAATTTTTGTGTTACATGTAGGTAAGATAAACAAGAGTGGACCACAGCAACCAGAAGGGAGTGTCCTGTGACTTGGCAAAAATAAAACAGGAGGACCAGGTGAAGCCCCCTTACAGATTTGGGAAATCGAAACTTAATGCTGGAAGGCTCAAGAAGTACTAAGGCTCGTAGTGGAGTGAACCCTAATCGGCAATGTGGGGGATTGTTCCCCTTCGACTCACAGGCCTGAGTGATGGTCTGCCAAATCCACCTAGCAATAGTCGGATGAGAAGCTGGCTGCCCCATATGGGGACCCTCAAGAGTGACATTACGTTAGGATGCTTTGGCACAGGGCATAAAGATGGTAAAACACTGTCCTGGTTAAGGTGGTAGGCAGAAACTGCCTTAGGGGAAAAAAAAGAAGGCTTAGGCTTCATCAGTGTCTTATCCTTCTTGAAAATCAGAAAAGGCTCTTTTCAAGTCAAGGTTGCCAACTCAGAAAGATGCCTTTCAGAAGTGATGGTGACGAGGAAGGCAACTTGTGAGTGAGTAGGGTCAGAGGGATATCTCGGAGGGGTTCAAAGGTAGCTAGGAGGACCACCTCCAGCATCCCCTACGTCAATGAAAGGTCCCAATAGACCTACTGGTAAAAAGACTGTTTTCCAGTATACAGACATTGACAATTGAGGAACATGGTAGACAGGGCATGGCACATGTTCTGCCCAAGCCAGGATTAAGGCCACTTCGCCCTATAAGCTGTGCAACTTCTGGTGCCTGCCCTAATGGTTGATGTAACCACAGCCATGACACTGCCAGACTGAATCCTGGTCAGGTGGCCCTGTAGCTGGGGAGTCCAGGACTAAAGGAACAACCAAATGGTCCTGAGCTCCAGGATGTTGAACGGGAGATGGGATTTCACCATCGACCAGATTCCTTGGACAAAGATGTTCTCCAGGACTCCTCCCAGCCTGATAGACTGGCATAAGTCATGAACACCTTCCAGACCACGCATAGGCAACCTCGGCACTCCAGCTTTTCTGGAACTACAAGCCCCATAAGGCACTGCAAGACTGACAGCCACAGGTATGATTCCCAGTGGCAGAATCACCACAGCTGGTGTGCCAAGGTAGCCTACCCGTGGTCCAGACCATTGGGAAGAAGGATTCCCCTGATTCTAGCACCAGGTTGAAGATTCACCACACCAGGGCAAGATTTTCCTTGCTAGGCAAGTAAAAAAGGAGGTCCAGAGACTCATGTTTGCTCCACACAGCCAGGATGCTTAGCTGCAACGGTCTGGATTAAAAGTGGGCATTGGAAACTGCCTCAAAGGAGGCTACTACCTGCAAGACCAGAACCTTCATGCAAAAGCGAATGGTCAGGCGTCTCCTGAAGGAGGACCCTGGATAGTCCATGACCAAGTCTTCCATGTGAAGGGATTGTTCCAGCTACGACTTCTGGAGGTTCAGGACCCATAGAAACTCTGCAAAATTTGCATCGTCCTATGTTGGATGACAAGGCTTCTACCAACTGTTCCCTGAGAGAAGGTCATCAAGGAACCCCACTATGGGCATACCCTGAGATGTCCTCCCACCTCACGAACTTGGAGGGCGAGGACTTAAGACGAAAATAAGGGTCTGGTTAGATTTGAAGCCTAAGGCCTGTGTGGGAAAAAGAAACCCATCTTGAAGTAGGGAACAGAGGATTTATCCACCAAAGTCCTGGACTTTTGCTTCTGTGGGTGGTGCTCTTGCATCAGTTACGTCCTTAATACAAGTAACCAAGGGTTCCCCCAACAGGTATTCCCCAGAAAAAGGACATGCACTCAAGGCATTTCTTGCAAGGAGGCCCTGCAGACTAGCATTTCAGCCACAGAATCCATCACATGTGGAAATTTATTTAAGGTATTCGCCAGATCAATCTCCGCAGTAGTGCAAGACCACAAGAAAAAGTAACTATTTATAGCCGTTACAAATCTTTCTGAATGTTCCTTCTGTGCAAAAAGTCCAATGCTCAAGAGCATTGGAAATAAATACGTATTTCCTATGCTCCTCCAAGGGCGATGATGCTAACGTGCACCCTCTCTGTGAGCGGAGACAGATCATGATAAACCAGTCAGGTTTCCATTAACATTGTGATAACCAAAAAGGTAACCTAAAACTCATCAAAAGGGCATATTTAATTCTGCATTTGTCCCCATGCACCTAGACGCAACTTGCTCCTCTGTAAGCTTGGGACCTTGACAGGGGGATTCAGAAAAGAGAGTGTGTAAGAGACGGGTGAATTTCCAAGCTCTACTGTGCTGAATGAACCCAGAAGTGATTTGCAGCCACTGGGTGAGCTGTAGATTGGGGACTTTGTCCCCAAACTGCTCTGGCTAGAGGCAGAGGAGACATCTCCATAAAGAGAAGCATGCATCCTACCAACAGTATTTCTTTATATAAAATGAAACCATTATTATTTATTCTAAATAACACTCCAACAATGCTAAAAGTCAGATAATGAAAACCATTTAAATTAAAGCAGACCTTCCATTAAAACTCAAGGTTAGCTTATCACGTGGCACCTAGGTGAGGGTGATGTCATGATCCTTCCAGTGAGATCCTGGGTACAATGTGAGCAGGAGTATCTTCTTGGGAGATTTGGGATACTCACCATTCCCAATATCTCACCTAAGGAGTCAGATGGCAGGTAAGTATATTTTTCTACCTTTTCTGCACAAGTGCTATTTTTGCCCTTAAACATGTTGGGGGTGCTGTTGTAATAAGAGGACTTTACATTTTAGTACAAGGTCTGCTTTTATTAGGAACTTTCTGAAATCATCAGAGAAACATGATGAGATAGTAGAAGTTACAGGCTTCAAGCTGGAGCCTTCCTATCTGCCTGCTACATCACCACTCAAATTTGATTTTCCTTGGCCATTTTAAATAGGATTGGCAGCTGTAAACTTTTTAGTATTTTAATTAGGGATGCACCGATACTAGTATCGGTGCGGATACCGAGTATTTGGGTGGGTACTCGTCCAAATGCTCCGATACCTAGCATGAGTACTTCCTGTATCAGGAAGCCGGGCAGCGCATCATTACACGCTGCCCAGTTTCCTGATTGGCCAGGAAATGGCTCCATGCTCTCTCTTCACTTGTAATGAGAAAGCATGGAGCCGACTTCCCGGCCAATCAGGAAGCCGGGTAGCGTGCAATGACGCGCTGCCCGGCTTCCCGATTGGTCAGGAAGTTAGCAAATCCGGGCGCCATGTAATGACGCAGCGCCCGGCATTCTGATTGGCCGGGAAGCCGGCGTCATGCTCCCTCGTCATCTCATGAATCATAATATTAAAAAAGTGACCTTAAAGCATTAGTTTGTATTGCTTTAGAAAAAATGTGACCTGTACCTTTAAGAAAAAGTATCGGTAATTGGTATCTGCGAATACTTGATCAAAAGTATCGGTACTCGAACTCGGTCTTAAAAAAGTGGTATCGGTGCATCCCTAATTTTAATACATAAAGCAGTTTGTAAAAGGCAGAAAGGTGCCTACAGTGGGTAAGTTTGGGAATACCTCCACGTTAGAAAAAATAAACAATGTAGGTGCCCAGATTATGGCCCTGAGCAGGTAGCCTGTGTTCCATTTACGATTTTTCAAGGTCTAATATTCTGCTTTGATTAAAGTATACCCAACTGTCACTGTATCTCAGATTTTTCCCAGTAGGTATGCTGGCTTTGACAAATAAAAGAATTCTGCTTAGAACTGATGATTATGAACAGCATGTCCTGCCTTGTAATTATCTACCTTGCTCAACAAGTAACCTTACCTCCCCATCCATGTTATTCTGAAACAGCCTGTAACCAGTTTACATGGAGTATCATCTGCAAAGAGAGAAGTAGAGTAAATACAAACATTTAAAACTTTCAGGGTACTTCATGTGACGCACATAGAAACGGTGCTCATAATGGCTAATAAAAAAGCATTTCTGTATATAAAAATGTTATAATGAAATTGTCTTTTTCCATAATACCATTTACAGGTCATTCTAAAAAGCACACATATACACCGCCTATTACCACCCAACATTCTTAACACAGACATAAAGCCTCCTTCTACCACCCAACCTTCTTCACAGATATATAGCCTCCTATTGCCACCTAGCCATCCTCATACATATCATGGGTCAAAATAGTGCTTGCAGCTTTTTGATCGCACCGGACCGCAGGTACAATGTGCCTTGCGATCCCATTGCAGCCGGAGGGCGTGGCTACGGTGCCATTCACTTCAATGGCCCACCACGCCCCCTCCTGCCCCACAAAAAAGTGAGCCAGCCGCAATACGATGCAGTGTGTTTTGGCGAGAATCAGGCCGGAACGCACTGCATCTGGTGTGAACCTAGCCTTAACCCCTTAACAGTCCGTCACTGGCAGGGGGCCAATTTAAACAGACTCCCGGCCGCTAAAGCCACCAGGACTTTGTTTACATTTGTACAGCTGGCGACCGGCTTTCCCAGGCTCCGCTGTCACTCCTGCGGGCCCAGGAGCATGGGTATTTTATTGTGTTTTGGGCACTAATTTTAACTTAAGTGCATTTTTCACAAAATGTTCGGGTTTCATAAAAATTTCCGCTAATATCGTGCAGCATAAAAATTTGCAACTGCCGCCATTTTATTCTACAGGGTCTTGGCTTTCAGAAAATATATAATGTTGGGGGGTTTAAAGTAAGTTTCAGGCCTAAGATGTGGATTATAACATGGGTGCAAAAAATGAAAAAAAGGTGAAGGTGCTGAGAAAAACCTGGACTCAGCCATGTTGCAACAACAACAACAAAAATCTTACCTTTCTATAAATTATTTTTCGGAATGTTGTGTGAAAAAGAACACAAACAAACAGAGAGGGGTTTTCTGAAATTTGACTACAAAAGTAAATACACTTTAACCCTTTCCCAACCCCCGACACGATCATTCAGTTCGTTAACGACTGGTGACGGGATAATCCCGTCAATTGGTACAATGAGTGCTGGTCCGTAAAGGGTCCCACGGGGTATGAGGCAGACCCTCAACAGCAGTTTAGGTGGCCACAGTCTTGTGATCACAGCGAGAGCTGATCGCAGAGCCGTGACAGCCAGCAGCAGTTCACTGTGTTTAGTAAACTGCTAGCCAGCTGTGTTACAAAAGTGATACAAAATATCTCTAAGGAGAATACTGTATTCTACTCAGAAATACTAGTTATCAAAGCCCCTGTAAATACAAAAAATAACCCCTTAGTGCCCCCTAGTTTAAAAAAAATCTGAAGTTTTTAAAAAAGGGGAAAAAAAAGTCAAAAAAGTTTTAAAAAATACATTTAATAAAAAAAAAAAATAAGATGAAAATATAGTGCCGAGGAGGCTATTAAAGATAGGAGAAAACATACCACATTCTAAGATTTCAACACTAAAATTGTATTTCACTCCTGGTATTTTGTGACCTATAACTCCCAAAATAAACTGAAATCCCAGACATATGATATACCCTATAAAAATCAGGAAAAATTAAAGAGTTTATTATTAATTACTTTCCGTTAGCTACACTTATTATGTACACATTAATATTGCCAAAGCGGTGAAAATGTGTTTTTTGTATAAATAAAAAAAAATATCCAAGAATTTATATATGCATGTGTCACATCAAATTAAAGCCCATTGTGTCCTTTATAAATGGTATATAATATGTGAATGTGCAATGCATGAGGAAGAAAATAAATTATAGGTAAACGCATAGCAGAAATGCCAAATTGCTCCGATCCCCAGAAGCGAAAACATTTTCTGAAGCTGTGCCACTAAGGGGTTAAGCGACATATCCAAACCACATAAGGCAAAAACAGCTACTAGTGAAAACAGAAGAGAAAGGGAGAAACAAAAAAAGGAAAAGAAAGAAAAGAAGAAAGGAGAAGGAAGATGCGATCCTGTCCAGGAACCTACTTGCAGAAAGTCATGGTGAAAGCCCTGAGCTCTCATAGTCCAGCCATGGTGAACAAACCCGGAGGAACTGTCACGGTCTGGGGACCGGGGCACTAGGGTATGTGAGCTCTGGGGTTTGAGGAGTTGGTAGGAGTCACAGACAGGAGGGATATCTGGGATGTTGGTCACAGAGAGAGGAACTAATGGTCTGTGCGTTCTCAGGACGCACTAGAGGCGCAGAATCTAAGAAGGGCCGAGTATTTGACAGAGCCTCTAGTGGTGAGGATGATTGGCTGCTGGACACCTTCCAGATTGCGGCCCTCTAGCGCACCCACACAGACGCAAAGGACTAGTCAAAGCACCGGGGAACTGGATACAAAACAACAGGTAGGGAAGAAAGTAGTAACCAAGAGGAGGAAGATAGGAACAGTGACACACAATGAGAGAAAGAGAAAGTCACAAGCAAAAGGTGCAATACGCACAGCAGAACAGCAGAGTATACTGATTCTGAAGAGGGTAGCTAAACAAGGACACTCGGGAAGGATAAGTAGCTTAGAGGCATACCTAGGAGCAGGAAGGTGTAACGTACAAAAGTAATCAGGAAATGTGCATTGCACATGCATACAAAGAAGCAGGATAACAGAGATAAAAGTACATAAAGAAGCACAAAGGGATGTATGCACACAGGGGGTGTGCAGACAAGGACGAATCCAACACAGCCACAAGGTAAGAGAGAAGCACAGAAGTAAAGGGGTGACAGCAAAGCATATAGGACGATACACTGGAAGGTAAGTGACGGAACTGAAGTACAAGAAAGCAAGTAAATAGGAGGAAGCAAAACACACAAAGGCTGGAGAGGGAAAACACAGTAGAAGTGAGGCAAGGAAGGCAGCATAGAGAGACTCACAGCACACAGGTGAAAGCAATTAGGGTCTGCAGCAATATACTAAAAGGTAACCACTTAAATACTATAGTAGGGGCGCAAGGAGCAAAGCAGGGGATAACGCCAAACAGGGATACCAGCTGGTACAGGCAAGTCAAAGGCACAAGGATCTAATAGCAAGCGCAGGGAATAAGATCCCAGGGATAGTTAGAGCCACAAGGGGTACGGAACAAGGCATGAGACTTGTCGCTCACACCAAGAGCAACAAGTGAGGAAGTCCTAAATAGAGAAGGAGGAGAGCAGATTGGCTGCAGCCTTGTGAGACACCATAGGCCGACAGCCCAGAACCAGGGAGCAAAGCGAAAATCCGGTACGGATTTCCAGATATTGTGACAGGAACTTGCCATAGGAGTCGTTTAGCATAGCAGTTCTTCATTCATAAAAAGTACCTGTAATTCTGTGTTTCACGTACGAGAAGCTAAGGATACCTCACCAACTGAAATACTACACAAATAAAGTCAAATTTAAGACTTGAGCTAAACATATATATTAGAATCAGAAATAATGGTGCTCTTTCCTCCCATGATTAGGAGCCCATTCCCTTACTTCTAGTGGTAAAACAGTGGAGGAGCTGTACTGCAGCCATCTTAAATACTATAATGCTATATTTGAATGTCCCGTAAAGGGGTCATAACATAACCAGAGACTTCCCGCTACTGCAACATGCAATGCTGTATATAAAACATACACCCCTGTAGGAACAGATACAATCATAACCACGGGCATATAAGATTATGTAACTTGTTGTTGCATATAGGATGAGGACACCATAAAGCAACATCAGATGTAGAGAACATAGTGTAGCAGTATCATTTATCAAATAACACTCCATACACCAGCCTTTCCAGGGTGCCCCGGCCATGAAGGGGGGGGGGTTATGAGATTCTGATGTGAAGGGGGGGGAGAGATTGGACTCTGACATAAAGGGGAGTGCAGTACTCTGATGTGAAAAGGAGTGTTATGGGACTCTGATGTTTTTGTATTGCGGTCCCACCTTAAACCTTTTTGGAGGGGACACTTTTTTTTTAACATTTATGTTTTTTTTATATTTTTGACTGAGGTGGCTGAATAGTTTGCATACTTTTAAATGACACTATGACTGGAAAAAAAAAAGGTTGCAAAAGGCTGCCCTCCATTACTACTAACATGACTGCCATGTAGGGGGCTTCTGCCAAGCAGATAGTGTTCCTGGCAGGAAATGAACCCAGGATCTCAGCACTGCAAGACAAGACCATTGAACATAGCTATGAGACCATGTCTATTATTAATTAATATTATTGGAGAACCAACAGCACAGCAATTGTAGAAGTATAAAAAGATACATATCTGTAATATAAACATATAAGGCCTAGTTACAGCAATGTGTGTAAGGCCTGAAGGTCAGTGAGGTATATACTGAACCGCTGCACCATTATATATGAATGTCACTGTAGTGTAACCATCTATAACCTGCAATACAACACCTGATGAGGTCAATATACAAATGTTTTTTGGCATATGGCTTATTTGTATTCATTTACTATTTGTGTAGAAAATAAAAACAAAAATACCATAAGCAGGATGGTATGTTAACTGTAATCATGAAAGTGTAAACATGTATAAACAAACCATCCTGAGGTAAAATTCACACATTTCAGTGGTGTATACAGCTAGAGCTCTACAGATACCACATACAATGCATGAGGGTCATATTAAACCAGCGACCGAGCAGAAGAGGCCACGCAAGCCACAAATCTCTCCTCTTTTCTGGTGACTACAAGTCGCTGGTGAGCCATGGCCGACAGCATCTGAATCGATAACTGGAATAGCCACTGAAGCAGACTATTCTGTCACTACCTCCAAATGTAAAACTGACAAACACCTTTGCAACACAAATACTAAGGAGAGCGATTCTGTGTCTACTATAAGTGACCCGCTACATAGCCATTGCAAAATATTAGGGATGCACCGATAACAAATTCTAGTATCGGTGCCGATACCGTGTATTTGGCCGGGTACTTGTACTGGCCCA